AATCTGGGCCAATAGTACGTGGTCACAACCGGAATGAAGCGTGCCGACTTGGTCAACCTGTCGATAATGACCCAAACTGCATCAAACTTCCGCAAGGTCCGCGGCAACCCAATTATGAAGTCCATAGTAATGCGCTCCCACTTCCACTCAAGTATAGTTATCTGCTGGAGTAGGCCATCTGCCTCTAGTGCTCATACTTAACCTCCTAGCTATTTAGACATCTCGCCACATATTCGACTATGTTCTTCTTCATCCGCCGCCGCCAATAATGCTGTCTCAGGTCGCGATACATCTTCGTAGCACCTGGATGAATAGAATACCGAGAACTGTGTTCCTGTTCTAGAATCTTTTCCCTTAGCCCATCAACATTAGGAACACATAGACGACCCTGGAGTCGCAGAACACCATCCTCGCTGATAATAACCTCTTTGGCACCACCCTGTAGTACCGTCTCCCTAAGAACCAACAAGTGCGGATCACCGAACTGACGAGACTTGATCTGCTCGGATAATGAAGACTGAGCGACGACACATGCAAGAACTCGGCTAGGCTCTGAAATATCCAACCTCACAAGTCTGTAAGCCAAGGACTGAATGTCCAAAGCTAATGGCCTCTCCTCTATTGTAATGAATGTCAAACTACCCATACTCTCCGCCTCTTTGCTCAAGGCATCCGCAACTACATTCGCCTTGCCCGGATGATAAAGGATGGTAATATCCAGAAAGTATTTGTAGAACAAGATCACATTCAAGGATTGGATTGCCTATGGACGTCATTGCATCTGCAATTGGACTTGAGACGATAAGCTTATTGATTAATTGAAAGATTAACTTTCTTAAGATTGTGAAACTGGACTGGATTGTCTATGGACGTCAATGCACATGCAATGGAGTTGAGACGATGGGCATATTCATTAAATGAAAGATTACCTTTCTTAAGGTTTTGAAACTGGACTTTTAGCTGAAGTGTCCGAGAACAGACTTGATCACGGAATAAACGCTCAATTTGAAGCCATGCCTCTCTAGAAGTGAGAGAATGACTTGGCTTGATAATATCTTGAAGACTTGAGAAATAGTTGTTTGAATCCATGAAAGAACAATGGAGTCAAGTTGAATCCATCGTTGAAAGGAAGAATTCTAGATAGTGGTAACATAATCAAGAAGAATAGTAGGAGCAGGACACGGAAAACTTCCAGCAATAATGCTATAAACACCATGGCCTTTGAATACTGGTAAGAAAAGCTCTCTCCATAACATATAGTTTGTAAAGTCAAGAACAGTAGGAACAAGATTTTCATGTTGGAGACGGAAATAGCAGAGGGAGAGGATGGAATAAAGGAGGAAGCGTTAGTCATGGAGGCTGGGGAGGTAGGAATTGATTCATTAGAAGAGTTGGGAGACATGATTAAACACAGGAGAAAAACAAAACCTAGACTTCTCATACCATGAATGTCACGACCCAAAATCCATTAAAGGTCGTGATGGCGCCTAACACCGCTGTCATGCAAGCCAATAATAAATGATTAACTGGATTCTCATATTTGTATTTTTGAAATCATAATTTCCTTCAATTTAATAATAAGAGATAAAATTTACGGAGTAGATGATAATGTTTTCACCACTCCAATCCTGAACTACTCATATGTACCCCCAAAACCCGATGTCACAAGTGCATGAGCATCAACTAAGGAGTAAAATAAAATACAGCATCTGTCCGGAATACAAATTAGAGAGGAAAAATATAAATAACTCTGAAGGGGACTCTGCTGGCTGCGGATCGTAACATGGAATGCAGCTCACCTAAGTCCCCGCATTAACCGCGGCTCTGCGCCCACTAGGCCACTAGACATATATGTACCTGCACAAAAATGTGCAGCAAGTGTAGTATGAGCATGTAAATCAACGCGTATCCATTAAGTATCTAGTCTAACCTCAAAGAAGTAGTGACGAGGGGTCGACTCCGACACTTACTATGAGCTAAAAATAAAATACTGATATTATAATTAAGCATGGATTGTATAGAACAGCTGTAAACTCAATAACATGAAGTAAGTAAATAATTCATTTGTTAATAGGAATTTCCAATTTATTTTCGTCATTTAACAATTTATATCTCAAGGCAATGAAGTAATATCAATTATTATTAGTTTCAAAGATTTATCATGCGCAAATCATGTCGAGGTCGCACGGTCCTGTAGATATGTGATTTTTGACCCTCCCCAAGATTTTTCATATTTTAGCACGTAAATATTTAATTTAGGCCTAATATAGCTATTTCAACTAATTTTAACTTTTTTACTTTATTTCGTCACAAAAAAGATGAAAATTATAAAAATATTTTAGTTTACGCATCTTTTATAAATTTAAATAAAAAATACACAAAAATAGTAGCTTATTCTTATTTTTATATATAATCTTGAAAATACAAAAATAGTTTCATGTTTTAATATAGTTTAGTTCAATTAATTAAAATTAGTTTTATATTATAATTGTATATAATTTTAGAATGAGGAATTAGTTTTGGGTTGGTCATCCCGTCTTTATGAATCTTGTAGTCCATTTTTCTTAGTCTTTGGCCAATTCCCTAGCCCATAATTTCCGAGCCCATAATTCCTAGGCCCATACCCCTAACCTAATCCCTACCCCTATATAATAGTACATAATCCCTAAATAAGAGACTACACCCAAAAACCTTACAATTCGCCTCTCACACCTAAAAGACCCATACAAGAAAGCTTCAGCCGTGACAAAACTTTCCCTATCTATTAACAACGATCTCCAATTCCCAAAAAAAAAATGAAAAATGGTTGCATTCACCTTTCAATCTCCAGAAAAGAGTGTCTAAAAGAAAAACGAAGATAGAGGGCGAGAGAGAAAGAAAAGCAGCCTGGACATCCTAGTCTGATGAATTTTCTCCTAGGACAGAAATCTTAGTCTGATGAATCTTTCTCCTAAGATAACAAACAAACAAAAAAAGACCTAGTCTGATGAGCTTTCTCCTAGGATCAAAATCTTAGTCTGATGAATCTTTCTCCTATGATAGAAAACCTAGTCCGATGAATTTTCTCCTAGGATAATAATTTTAAAAAAAAAGGGCAAGTCTCAATTTGAAAAAAAAAAAAGGGAAGTCGGAATTTGAAAAAAAGGGGGGTCATTTTTTTTTAATTTTCTTAAGATTATCAATGTTTAGTGTTCCTTAAATCAGGGGGCCCCGCCTGGAGAATAGGGTCAGTTTTTACTTTAGTCAAGCTTAGTTTATAGTTTTTCCGCAAGCTCAATCACGTTTAGGAGATACACATCCTAGTCGAGTCATTAATTTTACTCTCGTCATTGCATCCTTCATCAGCAGCGCATGTGATTTATAGTTTTGTTAACACTCACAGATGTTCCCAATATCAAACTGGGGCATGAAAATTTCTTTTGTTTTGTCTGGTTTGTTGTAATCAGTCGCCCACCTGGAGAACAAGGGAAGACAACTCAAGTTTCAAGGGAAAGCAGTTTTGAAGGAAGACAACTCAAGTTTCAAGGGAAAGCAGTTTCGAAGAAAGACAGTTCAAGTTTCAAGGGAAAATGGTTCAAGGTGCAAGGGAAAAACAGTGTCAAGTAACAAGAGAAGACGGTTCTAGTTCAGCAATCAGGCGCCCACCTGAAAAAAAAGGGAATTCAATTCAGAATGCAATTCAGGTCAGCAACAAAAGAAGCTCGCATCAAGAATGCGAGTCAGCAGTCCGAGATGATCAACAGAAGTTAGTCGCAATCCAGAATAAAAAAACAAAAAAAAAACACAAACAGAGAGACAAGAAGTGAATCCAAATGCAGAAGTTAATGAAAGATGTGAGCTGCTCAAGACAGGGCTGATGTCACAAGCTCTACATGTCCCGTCTTGGTTTGAAAAGCTGAAGAAGGTTGAACCAACACCTGCGGCTAACAAGCATCAAGATTCAGCTCAGGGTCCGCATGAAGAACCAACCAAGACTCAAGATCAAGCTTCAGAAGACTCATAGATAGGAATCTTGTAACTCGTAGCTGATAGGCTTTTTCATTTTTGATTTTGATGTAATAACGAGACCGCGGACTGGAACCTCGACGGCACCTCGCTCGGCTCTCAACCTCGGCATACTCCATCATCTCACTCACTTCTGAACTACACGTGGCCTGATTCCTTTATAGCCAAGGAAATGTTGGCAGCTCAGATACCAGGGCTCGGTCACATTTTCCTTTCTTTTAGCTTTCGATTTCCCTAAATAAGGGTCGGGTCAAAAAATTTGTCTAGTCGTTCTTTGTTTGAAACTCTTCGCGTTTCCAGTCAAAGAGGGCAGCTGTAATTAAAATTAGTTTTATATTTTTATATTATAATTGTATATAATTTTAGAATGAGGAATTAGTTTTGGGTTGGTTTATCCCGTCTTTATGAATCTTGTAGTCCATTTTTTTAGTCTTTGGCCCAATTCCCTAGCCTATAATTTTCAAGCCCATAATTCCTAGGCTCATACCCCTAACCTAATCCCTACCCCTATATAATAGTACATAATCCCTAAATAAGAGACTACACCACAAAACCTTACAATCCGCCTCTCACACCTCCAAGAAAGCTTCAGCCATGACAAAACTTTCCCTATCTATTAACAACGATCTCCAATTCCCAAAAAAAAATGAAAAATGGCTGCATTCACCTTTCAATCTCCAGAAAAGAGTGCCTAAAAGAAAAACGAAGATAGAGGGCGAGAGAGAAAGAAAAGCAGCCTGGACATCCTTTCTTTAACAACAAAGGGAGCGACTCTATTTTCAACTCTAAGAAAAATGAGCCTACCGTCACCTCAAATTTCTCCAAAATAAAAGATCCTCCAACAATAACTTTCCAGCGGCCAAGAACACGCACGCACGGAGATAGCAACTGGTTTTTTTTTTTAAAAAAACTGACAAAGCTGAGCTAAAATCGTTTTTTGCCGTCTGCTAAGAAATCGGGGTGTCGAAGTCGTTTGTGATCGTTGTCCAAGGTTTCCGGACAGATTCGCAGTCCAGTCGAGTTTGTATGCAAGTTTTCCGGCGTTCTATTTTGTCTTTGCTCGCATCAAATAGCGGCGTTGTAAAGTTTTTTTTTTGCAAAGGATCAATTTAATGAGGAAAGCTTTTTGAAGGTTCGCAAATGCGATGGTCACTGGTTCGCAAATGCGAGACCCAATTCCCAAATGCGAAGCTCCCCTGGTTGGCCTGTGTTCGCAAATGTGAACAGTAATGTCGCATTTCCCAAGCCTGCAGGGTTCGCAATTGCGAACCCAACTTTGCATTTCCCATATCCGCAGCCTAGCAGATTTTATACTTAGTCGAATTTTAGACCATTTTTCACCCCACTTTCAAAATACAACTCCTTAGGCGATTTTTTCAAGAACAAGCTTCATCCCAAATCATTTGTAAGTCGATTTTTACTCAATTCTTTCAATCATTAACATCATTTAACATGTTTTCCACTTAAAATTAATGATTTTCATGGGTGAAATTGGGGGTTTTGGGTAGAACCTAGGTTTTCTATAAATTGGGGATTTGGACCTCAATTTGAGGTCCGATTTCAAAAAAAATTACATATTTGAGTTCGTGGGGGAATGGGTAACCGGGTTTTGGTTCGAACCTCGGGTTTTGACCGCGTGGGCCCGGGGGCAATTTTGGAATTTTTGGGAAAAACTTGGGAAATTCACTTTTATGCATTCAAATTGATTCATTTAGTGTTTATTAAAGTAATTGAGCAATTTGTGACTAGATTCGAGCGGATTAGAGGTGGAATCGCGGGGTAAAACTATAGTTGAGGCTAGAGTCGAGTTCAAAACATCGAGGTAAGTGTTTGGTTTAACCCTAGCTTGAGGGATTAGGAGTTGAGTCATAATTGCTACTTGTTTGTGTTGAGTACGACGTATGGGCATGGTGACGAGTATCCATGCGTCGGTGTCAAGCATGACCGTGAGTCTTAATTTGATAATTGTGTACCCTTGTTTGATCCTATGAACGTTGTGATTAAATATTAGTATTAGTTGTGCCAGGTTTCAAGCAGCAGCAGCAGCATTAGTACGGGAGTAGGCCTTCAGTCCGGTGAGACCCGAGGTAGCCTTGCATGCGTTCGCAAGCCCGGCGTCTCCCTTATTCTCTCTTTTTAGCCTGTTGCCTCATTGTATTCGAGACAAACAACTTATGTTTTCTTTCAGACGTTTGTGTTTAGTAATTCTTAGCGGTTCGTGAGTATTGTGACACCAGTCTTGGGTAGAGGATTACATTGACTATTCCGCATGTTGATTCAGTTTCTATAATTAAGACTTCCGCTATTATTTAATTTCGCTGTTTTTATATCGTTGCTATAAATTGTTAAAAGGGGATTACGTTGTAAATGAAAAGTAGCTAAATTTGGCTTGCCTAGCTTCTACGAGTAGGCGTCATCACGATTCCCGAGGGTGGGAAATCCGGGTCATGACAAGTTGGTATCAGAGCACTAGGTTACATAGGTCTCACAACTCACGGACAAACTTAGTAGAGTCTGAGGGATCGGTACGGAGACGTCTGTATTTATCCCCCAGAGGCTACAGAGTTAGGAAAACTTCACATTTGTTCTTTCTTGTCGTGCGGTGCTGTTTNTAAGTGTTTGGTTTAACCCTAGCTTGAGGGATTAGGAGTTGAGTCATAATTGCTACTTGTTTGTGTTGAGTACGACGTATGGGCATGGTGACGAGTATCCATGCGTCGGTGTCAAGCATGACCGTGAGTCTTAATTTGATAATTGTGTACCCTTGTTTGATCCTATGAACGTTGTGATTAAATATTGGTATTAGTTGTGCCAGGCAAAAGTTGAATAGGATTGGTTATAGCTGACTCTCCCTTGTCGGGATGTTTGACTTGTTGTGATTGTTCCCTTGCCGGGAAGAGTATTAATTTGATTGTTCCCTTGCCGGGATTGTATTGTGTATTGTGTTGAAAGTAAAGGGAGCGGGTGGTACGCCTACCACAAGTGATATTAAAATGGGAACGGGTGGTACGCCTACCAAAAATGATATTGAAATGGGAGCGAGTGGTACGCCTACCACAAATGATATATTGAAATGGGAGCGAGTGGTACGCCTACCACAAATGATATTGAAATCGGAGCGAGTGGTACGCCTACCATTAATGATATATTGAAATGGGAGCGGGTGGTATGCCTACCACGAGTGATACCAAAATGGGAGCGGGTGGTACGCCTACCACGAATGACATTGAAATGGGAGCGGGTGGTACGCCTACCACGAGATATTGAGAAATGGGATCGGGTTGCACGCCTGCAACAAGATCTGTTGAATATGAAAGTTGCCTTATCTTTTCATTATTGTTAGGAGTTAAACTGTAGATGTACGTACCATTATTCCTGATATTTTGTTTCTATCGGTCACCCCTAAAGCATTTTCCCTTCCCCAGCTTAAATTGTTATTTTCTTGCTAGTTTTCCGTTGTACTTGTATATATGTGTCTGCACAGGTTTATCTGGAGTCTGGTCCTAGCCTCGTAACTACCTCGCCGGGGTTAGGCCAGACACTTAACAGCACATGGGGTCGGTTGTGCTGATGCTGCACTCTGTGCTATTTGCACAGGTCCAGGTTTCGAGCAGCAGCAGCAGCATTAGTACGGGAGTAGGCCTTCAGTCCGGTGAGACCCGAGGTAGCCTTGCATGCGTCCGCAAGCCCGGCGTCTCCCTTATTCTCTCTTTTTAGCCTGTTGCCTCATTGTATTCGAGACAAACAGCTTATGTTTTCTTTCAGATGTTTGTGTTTAGTATTTCTTTGCAGTTCGTGAGTATTGTGACACCAGTCTTGGGTAGAGGATTACATTGACTATTCCGCATGTTGATTCAGTTTCTATAATTAAGACTTCCGCTATTATTTAATTTTGTTGTTTTTATATCGTTGCTATAAATTGTTAAAAGGGGATTACGTTGTAAACGAAAAGTAGCTAAATTTGGCTTGCCTAGCTTCTACGAGTAGGCGCCATCACGACTCCCGAGGGTGGAAAATCCGGGTCGCGACATATCATCTCTGGTTTATTTGTTTGTGTCGTATGAAAACTCAATTTCTTTTAAGCTCTTTTGTTCTTTATTTTTGTAATATGGTTTTGATAGGCTATTATTGAGTTTTAGAATAACTTAGGCAGTATTTGGAAAATTTTGCGATCCATGTCTACTTGAACTTCCCGTTGTTGGTATGGAATTCTCTGATAAATTCATAAGATTGGATGCTTCTGTGTTGTGCCGTTTGGCGTTGTTGGTTGATGATTAGGGCTTCTTTCTGCCAGCAAGGAAAATTAAGTGCAACGTGTTTTAATAAATAATCTTTTCCTTCAAGGTTAAGATATTGTCTTGTTGTTGCTATTCCTTTTTCTTGAGGAGAATTAAATTTTGTTCCCTTTATTAACTTTGTTTGCTCTATCTGTCTCCTATTATTATACTTAAGCTTTAATCTATTGGACTTTCAAGAGTTGTCCAACTTTAAACGTAGCTAAATAAATGGGCATTGACCAGTTAACAGCCCTTTTAAGTGGCACGTACGTATTTTAGGTAATGGGAATCGTAGTTGCTTTAGGCGCGTAATTTAAATTACTTTCCTAAACTCGGGTGTGCATTTATGTGACCCAAATCCAAATCTCAACAACGTTAGATAAAATGTGTCGTGGACCGCGGGTGCATTTATGTGACGTGGTTCAAGACATGTTTCAGATAACGTTGAACATTTCCTAAAAAATAACTAAATAAAAGCGGTTATAAAGTTAAAATTGCAATATAGGCTAAAACATGTATTAAAATCAGATAATAGGCCAATAATAACAATTGAGCGACCGTGCTAGAACCACGGAACCCGGGAATACCTAACACCTTCTCCCGGGTTAACAGACTTCCTTACCCGGATTTCTGTGTTCGCGGACTGTAAAACAGAGTCAATCTTTTCCTCGATTTGGGATTTGAACCGGTGACTTGGGACACCATAAATATCCCAAGTGGCGACTCTGATTATTAAGTAATCCCATTTCGATTGTCACTTTAATTGGAAAAACTCCCTTGTATACCCTTCCGGGGTGTAGGAAAAAGGAGGTGTGACACCTCTGGCGACTCTGCTGGGGAAAAGAACACAGAACTTCTGGTTCAGGGTTCAGAATTGGAGCTTAGAATAACTGTTATATTTGGCTTTATTTATTATCTGATTTTTTTACATGTTTGGGCCTAATGTGCTAAATGACGCTTTTTACCGCTTTGATATTATCTGAACTGTATATAAACTGCTACAAAACCCTTCTCTTCTCATCTTCGGGGATGTGCACGCTGGCGTGACTCCGTATTCTGTTAGCGTCATACCTTGAAATAAGAAAGAGGCTCGGACAAGTTACAAAGCCGGATGGCCTTTTGGTTCCCGGTACGTAGCCCCCTCCTCGGCTCGAGTTGTCCGCTCGGGTGCACAAGTCTAGAACAGTATACCCAGGTTTTATACTTAGAATAACTCAGCCTCATGCCGGATCCCTAGTAGGAATGTTTGTTTGCATCACGTGCATTTGACTTTGGGGACTCAACACAGGGGTTGGGTCCGTCTAGGACAGGTATACCCAAAGTAAAAGACCATCCTGATGCATCTTACGTGCTACTTGCGTATTTATCTGTTTCGGCTTGCATATTGACTGGCTTCTAGAATAGGGGCAAACAAAAAAAAAGAGAGAAAAAAAGAAAGGAAAAATGAAAAGAGAGTAAGAGGTAGGTATTTGAAATATCCTGAAACTCTGCCGAAATTTTGAAAAAAGAAAAGTCATTTCAAAATAAGTCAATTTCTGTTCCGTCAAAACATGGCAAAACTACGCGAGTCTGATTCTCACCGGATGTGAGATACATAGGCAAACCTCATCGGTTCCGGCCCCCAATTTTCAAAAATCCAAAAAAAATCTTTTACTTCCTTCTTTAGAAAAGTTTTTCTTTGAGACCCCAGTTTTTAAAAATACAAAAAATATTTTCTTTTAGTTGCTTCTCAAAATCAAAAAATACAAAAATATTTTCATTCTTCTTTCAAAAATTGAAAAAAAATTCAAGATTCAAAAATACTTTCTTTTTATTTAGAATTACTTCTTTCCTAACTTCAGAATAAAAATCCATA